ATTGTTGGACCTTTTGTTTTTTGGTACAAAAGCATGGAGGTTAGCTCTGACTATATCTTTTCCTAGGATAAGGTATCATTGTGCAATGAGATTGGGAAACCACAGAAAATACATCTCCCTCTGTCTGTGTATTATCCAAAAAGGTACTGACCTTAGAATCCATTTAACTTCAGAGACTTCGTAGTCATATAGTGAGAATGGAGTGTGACAGATTGTCGAAAAGAGCCAAAAGTAGTAAAATTCAGGTCGAAAAGCCAAAAGACGGGCCACGGAAAAGATGGGAGGATAAAGCGGCAGCGGACGCGCAAAATTTGATAAAAGTAAAGCGCTGAAGTTATTAAAACTCCATTAAGAGCCGGTAAAATAAAACAGCTTGCGAATGAGACGAAAAAGTAAAAGATCGAAATGTTAGCTTTACAAGAAATTCGATGGAAAGATCAAGAGGCCATAGTAAAAAAAGACAATGTTTTATTCCATATATTTATACCAAATTGGGTCATAATGGTGCAGCTTTTTTAATTAGCAGTAAAGTAAGGGACAACGCAATATATTTTAAAGCTATATGTGGAAGACTATCTTATGTCAGAATAAATAACATATAGCAGTAAAATAAGGGACCACGCAATATATTTTAAAGATATATGTGGAAGACTATCTTATGTCGGAATAAATCTTCTTCTTCTTTGGGTGCCGTGTCCGTATTAAGACGTTGGCCGACATCATGTTTACAATTTCCTGAAACCTTTCTCTATCGGCTGCTGCGCGAAATAATTCTTCTACTGTGGAACCACACCATTGTCTAATATTACGCAGCCATGAAAGTTTCTTTCGACCAATCCATCTCTTTCCTTCCACTTGTTTTGTATTATAAGGCGAATTAGATGGTATTTAGGTCCTCTAATGATATGGCCGAAGTATTCTCTTTTCCTTTTTATGTTGTTTATCAGCAGACGTTGTGAATTGATCATCTGAAGAACATCTTCATTGGAAGTGTGCGAAACCCACGATATCTTTAGGATTCGTATATAGTACCACAATTCGAATGCTTCTATCTTGTTTAGCATTGTGGTTTTTAACGTCCATATCTCACAACCATACAATAGGATGGACCACACATAACATTTCAGGACCTTGTGACGAATATTCATCGACAGGTTTCTGTTGCATAAAACTGGTTTCCAGGTCATAAAAGCCTTACGTGATATTTCAATCCTAGTTAATATCTCTTCATCAGAGTTACAATTCAGAATAAATAACAAGCAGCAATCTAATTCAACATTCATTAATGCATATGCTCTGACTAAGAATGCGAAAGAGGAAGGCAAAAACGATGTTTACAAGAAACATGAAGAGATATATGAAAATGTATCCAAGACTAACATATTAAGTTTACTAGGCGATTTTAAAGCCATGGTAGGAAAGAAAGACTTAACAAAGACGTAGCTGCAAATGAAACTCTTCAAACAATTACAAATACTAATGGGAGAATATTTAGTAACCTAGCAGCAGCAACAGACACATTATTATAATGAGCACAAAATTCAAACACAAAAAATATGGCTAATACCAGGATCAACTGAGGATAATCAAATAGATCATAATTTGACTTAAAAAAAAAGTAGAGAAGAACAATTTAAGATGTCATGTCGTATCGAAGTGCAAACTCAGATTCTGGCCACTTCTTATTAATAGAAAATGTGAGAATGAAAATAATTAAGACACAAAGAAAGAAATGGAATCTAGGAAAAATAGAGTCGTATATAATTCAGAAAAATTAGTCTAAAGAGTTGGAAGCAAATTTAAAAGTCTTAAACTCTAACAATGTAAAAGAAACATAGAAAGAAATAAAAGGTCACATTTCGATAGCAGCAAAAAAAGTAATAGAATATAAAGAAATAAAAACGAAAAATGTGTGGTAGGACAAAGACTACGACACAGCAGCCAGAGAAAAAAATCTAGCACGAAAGAAATAATTGAAGACAGATAGAGAAGAAGACTTGAAAGAGTATAGGAGAAAAAAGAACGATTTAGACAAATACTGTACAAATGGAAAAAAATGTATTGATGAACTTATAGAAGAGTTGGAAGTGAATAGCAAGAATAATATAAAGCTATATAAATATATAAATAAAATCCCAAAACAAGTAAAAACCATCAGTTAAGATTGATGTCAAAATATTGGAGAAACATTACGAAGAGATAATAAAGGCTAGGGAAAGTAGCCACGAATGCACGGAAGAAACATACCTTATTGAAGAAACCAAAATCGAAAATCCGTGATATGAGGATTTTTTACATGTAATCTGAAGAAATCTAAAGCAAAAGACAGCAGCAGGCTCAGAAAAAATCAAAAACGAGCTAATAAAACAAGGCTGAGAAGAAATGCGACGAAAAATAAACCACCCAATAATAAGGATTTGGGAAGAGGAAAGAACGCCTGAAGAATGAAAACCAATGTGGATATTTTCTATTCTAAAGAAAGGTGACACTGTCACTTTATTTTATAGCAGGTGAGCTGCTATAAAATATTTAATCAAGCAAAGAATCTCAAAGAACATTAAAACTAAAATAGGAGACTACCAGCAGGGATTTAGAGAGAGAAGATCAATAATAGACGCAATACACATAATCATATAATAAATTGAGAACTGCTAACATGATACCATCGAGTTAGAATCTAATGATATCGACTTACACACCCTTTACATAGAATTCAAGCAAGCATTTGACACCTAATAGAAGGCATATTAGGTGTTATAAATATCCCAATGAAAGTCGAAAATGCCAATGGAGGGGTCGACAGCAGTAATAATAGTAATAATAGATGATGGCATCTCCAAAAATATAGAAATTGCAACTGGAGTACGACAGGGCGACTCTCTATCAACTTCACTATTTAATGTCACTTTAGAAGAAACCATAATAGCTACCAAAATAAAAGGTACAATTATAACTGATAGCGACATAGTATTGATTACCAGAAGCCTAAACAGCTTAAAGAATGAATTTGCGAAGTTGTGCAAGGAAGCATCCAAGGAAGGTTTGGCAATAAATAAAAATAAACCAAAATACCTAATATGCTCAAGAAAAAATATAGTTAATGTGACAAGGTTAAATATTGCCGACTATAAGTTTGAAAATGTAGAACACTTTCAATATTTTGGGGTGTCAGTTAATGGAACTAATGATAAAAGCGCATAGTAATCAATAAAATAATTTAGGCAGGAATCCGAACTTACTGAAAATACAACAGCTTCCTCAAAGATAAAAAGCTTACTCAGAATACTAAACTGAAAAATTACAGAGAAGCAATTCGAGAAGTAATCACATGTGGAGCTGAAGTCATGTACCTGATATAGAAATATAAAGTAAGATTAGGGATCCTAGAGAGAAAAATCATCAAAAATCTTTCACTAAACTTGGTAATAATGAATTTAAAAAACTGATGAACTACGAAGTAAAAGAACTTTTGAAAGGAGAAGACATCGTCAGATATATCAAGGCACAGAGACTAAGAAGGATAGGACATCTAGAAAAGAGAAATCCAGAAGCAGTTATCAAGAAGATCACCAACTGGAGACCAGTATTAGACAGATCAAGGGGAACACCAAAAATGAGATGGGGGAACCAGTTAATTGCGGACCCTAAGAAGATGGGAGTTAGAAAAGGGAAAATAGAAAAATGTTAATGCGAACTGATTCCCCGGCGACAAATTAATCGGAAGAGTCCAAAGAGGGTGGCAATCACTTCGCTAGGAGTGTAGATGCTATGATAAAGCGCTGAAGAGAATACTGACGTGGAACCGGCAATGTTGGAGGTATTGTTTGAAGGAGGCCAATGCTTGATTTGAGCTGTAGCGCCATTGACATCGACAGGACTTTGGTCTTCGTCTTTTTAAAATAGGATAAACTTTAATCACTGTATCGTTTTTTGTCTTATTCTTTAATTTCCTATAAATTATTCCGCGTATATATACTTAAACCAATTAATTTTGTGATTAATGTCATTAACCCTAGCTAATTAAAATGACTTATTTGTGTTAATGGATTATCATCAAGTATTATTTCTGTTCTTATACGTTCGATCTATAAAATCGTTAGATTTCCGAAGCAGAAATTGAAACGTCAAAATAAATGTATTTTCCACTAAAATTTTCGGTAATTAACATTAGAGATAATAAATCATATTAAAATGACAAAATAAAATAGCTTCCTAACAATATTTGCATTTTATGTGGTATTGTGGTCGAATTTTCTAGGGGTGTTCATGTTATTTTTACAAATGTTTGTACAAAACTTAGACAAGAAGGTATCGATATTTATAATTTTTCTACTTTGCACAATCCTGTATAAAGAACGTTGTAATATATCATAAAAATTAAGCTATCGCGCATTTCCCAATTGAGTATATCTGATACAATATATTACTTAATATAAATTTTTTTGAAGACAATCCATGCTCTATGAAACATAAAACGATCTGTCCAAATTTCAAATAAATTCATCATTACCCCCTAACCCAGATAAAATATCGACAAAAGGCACACATGATGACCTAAGCAAATAACCTTACGGCAAAGCGATCAATTATAGAGCTAAGCATTGTTTAAACACTCGATTAGAAAACGCCGGCGGGTTATTCATAATCTGATTTCTCCAAAAAAGCCTCCCCACAAAATCAATAGGAAGGTTACTCCAGGACAACGTCTGAGTTTTTGCAACAGTTACAGGTACCAGAAATTGGGAGTCAGCAAGAAATTCTGCGACTACGGAAGTGTCATGTGTTGAGAAAAATTGTTGCAGATAATAAAAATCGTGCGAAAAATTAGGCATTGGTAAATAAACATTTTTCTAAAACAGTTTTCTTATTTGTTATGGTTAGATATTAGGACTAATATTCATTCTAAATATTTAGATTAAATTTAAGAATCCTGTAAGAAAACTTCGCCGAAATGAGAAAGAGTTAAGTCAATTTTCAATACTGGGTAATAAAGAACTTACCGGTAATTTCCAATGTTCTCCATCTAGTTTTCCTGGCCTTCTTTCCCATTTTCTCAAAGCACTCCTTTTCCAAAAAATCTCCCACCTATCATCAGATACGACTGTCCGCTTTTCTTAATTTTCCGTCTTAAAAAACCCGCACCTTCATTTTGACACAAAGTAAACCGAAAAGACTTGAATTCTTTCAAATAAAAATAAAAACAGAAAAAAATTTAGAGCGTCCAATTCAAAGAAATTCCCAAAAAATATCCACCAGTTCCAAAATTTTCAAATTTGCCGGCAGGTCCCGCGTGTACTTTAATTTTTTATCACAAGAAACTCACATATCGCTCGGAAGTTACAGCATGAGTCTTACAACGGTAGTTACATAATCCAAAACCCCGCGCTATGTAACATTATTGACTAAAATGAGAAGCGTATTCCACTAGCGTAGCGATCGGAGACCAAATAATATATTTGTAGCGATCGGGAGTCTTCGGGGCTGCTCGCAGATACAATCTTTCATTGATCCTGTTCAAGGTTTGATCCGGTATAGAGGTAAAACGGCGAGAACTCCCTGGAACTAGTTTTTCCGCGCTATATCAGGAAATGCATAATATAACGACCAATACACCGTTATTATTTATTTATTTGTTCTACCGTTTTTAAACGTCTAAAATATTTAAATCACTACATAAATGTTAAACTGTTGAATATAATGCCAAGATATTTAATCAAATGTTTTACTCGTCGAGATTTATATGTTGTTTATATTATAACTGACATTGTTCTAAAATGACATTTATCTACAAATATATGACAACGCACGGTAATGTTCTTCTTTTTCTTCTAAAACTTACATTTTTTACCCTTTTTGTTTTTTTAACCTGCTTATTATTCTGCTTTGTGCCTTTTTATCTTGTTTGTCTCGTGGAAGCCGATATAACTCAGTTATATAGTTATTCCATGTTTCAAGAATTTTTCCTTCATCAATGATAACTTTTTCTGCATTATCTACTAAAATATTAGTGGTTTTATTTTTCTACAGGTCAGCAACTTCTCCACAAACTTTCTTTTGCACAATGAACATGTTATGCTTTTTTCCTATTTCTTCCATTTCTGGACATCTACGACATCCACTTTTCTTTAGCCGCTGGTATTTTTCGTTTCATTTTTCATCTGTATTCTTCTGCTTTGTACTTGTATTGTTTTCTTTGTTTCATAAGATCTAGTATTTCCTCCGTCTTTTACTGTTGTTTCTTAAATCTATTTGTTACGTCATGTTCTGTTATGTAATTATATACATCCATTGTATTTTTCTTTTGTATTAAAGAGCAAAATTATTTTGCTGATGTTTTTTCTTTGCCTGGCTATTGCGTCGTCGACTAAAGGGTTGTGGTCAGGCCCAATATCTGCTTCAGAGTATGTTGTAACTACTGACGGAGTTCCTGAATTTCTTGTTTATAAATATTTAGTCTGAATCTGATTCCTTATTATATGTATTAGATTATCTCCATTAGCTCTCTAAGTATACGTAATGCGTTGATGTAACTTATACCATGTGTTTGTTATTGCCGTATTGTATTCTTCAACAGCGCAATAACAACAGCAAAAATCAAACAGCCTATACCCTTATTCATTGCTTTCTCCTAGATCATAGTCCCTTACCAGATCTCATCTATGCCCTTTATGAATTTTAATATTAAAATCACTCATTATGTATTGATTTCGTTGGATTTTAAGGTCTTTAATGTTCTTCTTGATGTGCCTTTCCGTAACTAATGTTTGCGATACATATTGTGTTGAATCAGGTTCTAAGATTCTTTAACCAGGATGTTCTTCTTCCTGGACCTCGGTTTACAAATATTTGATGGTGGTTAGTACTTCTCGGTTCTTCTTCAGTCCACCGGATCTTAAGTATTCTCCTATATAGTCAAATCTCAAATATTTCCAATCTTCTGCACATATCTTCGTTCAAGCTCCAAGATTTAACACCATAAAAAGGTCAGATAAGACATAGTATCGTAGCATTCTTACTTTTATACCAAGAGAAAGGTTTTGAGAATCCGGTTGAAGATGAATTTTTCAGTAGTCAGTATTTCTACTAGGGGATTCTACTGTCGGGTTTGGTTGAGGTAGAGTGACTTTCTGTTATCTTTTTCTTGCTAATTATCATAAGCTAGTTTTCTTTACATTTATATTGAGTCCATATTATTAACTGTAATGGATTCTACTGTCGGGTTTGGTTGAGGTAGAGTGACTTTCTATTATCTTTTTCTTGCTAATTATCATAAGCTAGTTTTCTTTACATTTATATTGAGTCCATATTATTAACTTTAATACGCGATTTTGTTCATAAGGACTTGTAGATCCTCTAAGTTGTCTGCAAATATTATGGTGTCATTTGCATATCTGTTGTTTAGCCGATACCCGTTTGCAAAAATGTCTTTTTAGTTTAGTGCAAAGCTTCAATGAACATTCTTTCAGAGTAAAGATTAATAATGGGAAGAGACAAAATACAGTCTTGCCTTATTCCTCGCATGATTTTTACATATTCGGAATGTTCACCTTCAACTGTGAGATTTGCGATCTGATTTCAATAAAGGTTTCTGATTATTTTTAGATCTTGGTATTTGCATCATCTTGGCGTGCTGTACATAATAAAACGCTTTCTCGTAATCAACTAGACAAGCGTATACCTCGCAGTTGACGTATCTGAATCTCTGGAATAAGACTTATATTAAGAACAAAGCCTCTCTCATACCAACAGCATTTATGAACCCGAAGTGGTTGAAGGAAATTTGAGTTTCACACAACTTGTAAATTCTCTTGTGCATTATCTTTAGGAACAATTTTAGGAGATGACTCATGGGCTAATCGTACGATATTTTTCGCATTTTTTGACCCCTGGTTTTTTTGGAAATGCAATAAACTCACACTTTAGTCATTCTGTTGGTATTTCACCATTTTCTTTAATGTTACACTAAGCTTATTAAACAGAATTTTTACTTTATTGTGATAGTTTCTTTATTTGTATGGACTAATGACTGTGAGTCGTCATTATTGTTCCCGCAATAACACGATACATCTTCTTTATGTCTGCATGTTCCTGGGTCAGGTCATCATAACTCGCTGACACATATGATTGACAATTTTAAGCGTTTAATCTCCTGATTAAGATTTTCAAATCCTTCTAACATTCCATGTGCTTATTCTTAGAGTGGATTTAACTATTTTGAGCCTTGATCATCAAGGGTCTTCAGGGAACTAAAGGTCCTGATTTTTTTTTGCCGTGGCAAGATCCTATGAAAAATTTATTGCTTCTTTATATACTCCTTTATTATGCCTAAAATCTGGACTGTCACTTCCATTAAGTTTGTCGTTCTCTTATCCGCCTTCATCGTCGTTGTTGTCTTCTAGACAAGAGGTTCTTACAGAGTGCTATCAGCTAGGTTAGCCGAATCCTGTTTGTTTATAAAGTTGTTACTTCTTTATTCCTACTTTTTTACTTGTACCCTGCTGCATCAAGCACAAGGCAGTTCACCCGTGCTTTATTTATTATATTTTTATTTTTCTTATTTATATTTATAGATTTGATCTTAAATCGACTATTAAATCATACACAAGCGAGACCTAAAACTCGCGGTCGATGGCAAAGTACATAATACCATTTGATAACGTTACAAAACAACATCGTCCCCGCTTCATAGAAATGTAACTTGACAAGGGTCAACATCAATGAACGATTACCATTGGACAAGCTCATATAAAGTAGTGTCGATTAAACGAAACAAACCCCCAACTGAAGATTAGTCTCGATTATGAAAATATCAACTCTAACCAGCCGATGGCTAAGCTCTGGCGCAGTATGGAAAATCAGATCAAGAAACCACCTGCGAAATACTTTAGCAAACAAAATCAGAAATACGCTTCAGCGATAAACAAATATGATGGTGGAATAATGGCAAACGTCATTCAAGAAGGGACACTAGACAAATGACCTTGATGAGTACGAAATTAACCGAAAAAAGAAATCAGCCGCGAAACGAGCAGTAACTAAAGAAAATAAGAAATATTATGATCAACTCTATACCAACATCCCTGGAGGAGAGCACAAGTCGCCTTAGCAAATCTTGACATCGAGCAACCGAGGATTGCCGTGATGTAAAGTACATCAAGAGCAAAGATCGCCGGATGCTAGAGAGAACACTTATTGAGCATCTGTAATATCGAATTTTTACAACCACCGATCATTAGTACAGAACCTATATTCGGACTTGTGCTGTACATTATTGAAGCGCCGCTATGGAAAAAGTTACTTGTCTAGCTGAGCTTTAAACAACTTTATCACCGAAGGCAAAGTTTTCAATTTCTGGCAGACCAGCAGAACTGTGTACACCTGGAAGGACAAAGGTGATGTCACAGAATGCTTCAACTACATGACTTTTATGCCACGCCATGAGAATATAGAAGCCCGACTCAGAAATATCATTTGCATCAATCCCAACCAGTATGGATTTGTAAAGAGAAGCAGCATAACAGTCGCAATTTACGCAGCTAGTTTTCTCTTGAAGAGGCATCAAGGGAAGAACAAAACAATGCTTCTTCTTAAGGTACCTTCTCCATTACTGAGGGTTGGCTATAACTACAGCAAATTGCTCTCTATCTTGAGCTGTTCTTAGTATCAAATGTGTGTCCATACCTGTCCAGTCTCTTACATTCTTCAACCAGGAGCATTTTCTCCTTCCTGGACCTTTTCTTTTTTCCACTTTCCCTTTCAATATAAGTCGTAGGAAGTTGTATTTTTCTCCTATGTAAATATGAACTAGATAACTCGTTTTTCTGTTTTTTACAATATTTAGGAGTTCTCTTTCAGTACCCATTCTTCTAAGCAGCTCGTTGTTAGTCACGTGCTCTGTCCAAGAGATCTTTAGCATCCTTCGAAAAACCCACATCTCAAAGGCTTCCATACGCCTAATACTTTTAATTCCGAGAGTCCATGTTTCCACTCCGTGTAGCAATATGGAATAAATAAACGTTTTTATAAATTGGTATCAAATAAAATTTTTTCATTTGTTGAAATGCGGACCTACCATATTCTATACGAGCACGTATTTCGACCTCGTGGTCAAGATCGTTTTTTATCCAGCAACCAAGATACTAGAATCTTTGTACTGGTTCTATATGTTTATTGCACCTAGCAACAAAACCTTTAGCTAGATGCAAAACAATGCACCTAGCTTTTTTCGTTCTGGAAAAGGCCGTCGATCGCGTGTCGCATGATCTTATCTGGCAGGTCCTCAGATCATACGACGTTCCTGTAACCTGCGCATCCCGGGTAACACTTTACAATAACTTCATAAGTTTTTTTCGATTCCTATCAGGAATATCTCCGTTTTTCCCTATTACTGTTAGTGTCTTCCAAGGACCGGCTCTACCCAGCTCCT